CAGAATTGAAACATTTGTCAGAATTATTTCCTTCAAACTCCTTTTTAGAATCCCAGGACACTCATTTAAACAGTGAACCACTGACCTACTTAACACAGTTGATCAGGATGAATATGAAAGCAAAAGCTCTAATTCTTGAGACAGAGCTCTAATTCTTAATCCTAAACAAATCAGAGCAATGTTAATCATACTTTTGAAAGAACAGCCTATCAGAGAAGCTTGCTCAGAGTTTTTACTCAATTTCTGCAAAATGGTAGCTGCTTCAACCCCAATCAGAAGTATTTCCATTTATTTTTTAAATTAGAATCACAGTTTGCAAAAGAGTCAATCTCTATAATGGGAATTGACTGAGTCCTTTAGAACTCTGTCTGGTAATGAGGCTGCATCTGAAACGGCTTGTCATGGTCAGGCACCATGACTCACTCCTGCAATCCCAGCACTTTGGGAGGCCAAGGCAGGAGGATCACTTGAGCCCAGAGTTTGAGAGTAGCCTGGGCAACACAGGGAGACCTCCATCTCTAATTAAAAAAAAAAAAAAAAAATTGGCTTTCCTAACATGTGGACTGTGAAGCAGCTTTTACTTGTGGTGACCAGGTCTTAAAGCAATAATGTGATTTTTATTTTGAGGCAAGACTGACAAAAATTCAGAATTCAGTAACAGAGAAAGAGATTTTAAAAGCACTATTGAAAATGTAGTGTTAAACATTTAAGATGAGCTTCTGTTACTGAAAACACAGAATGCAGTCTTACAAATTTCTTAATTAAAGGTATAAAGTTGGTAAGATCTACATCTTTCTGCCCAGGCCATTCAAATTAACATAGAAAATTATCTTCTGAATTAAAAACAAAAACAAAAACTAAGAATGAGCCACCCCCACAAAGAAGGTCAGTTTAAACTGTAAGAGATGGTGTGCCCCTGAAATGGACACAAATACATGCTCAATTAATTTCTGTGTATAAAGAAAGGAGGCCCAGAAGTGAGCATCTAATCTAGGTGTCTCATTTGCCCATTTCAATATTCTGACTGTTTTCTTCTTCCTTCATTTCCTTTGTGGGCTATTGTACCACAAATATACCTCCATTATCAGATTCGAAATTGAATCCTATGATACTACAGCCTGAGGAAAAGGAAGCATTGAATATCATTCCCAGTTTTAGACCCAGAAGATATTTAGGAAATGTTACTGTATATACACCACATGCAACATTAGTGCTTTTAATTTCCTTTCTACGGGTGCAATGGAGATTAATTTGCATGAGCTCGTTTCAATTTCAGTAATAAGATCCAAATTTTGTATTAAGCTTTCCATCTCAAAAACAAACAGTTAAAAAGGACACATCTCTTCTTTCAAATGTTTTTATTATACTTCTATTTTACAGTCCTTGCATCTAATATTCACTTAAAACCTTGAATATATATATACCCGTAGGTTCTAATTTGTTTTTTGTTTGTTTCCTGATTATCTCCTAGCTCTACCAGGAAACTTGCTAAATTTCAAATGCTTTACAATCCAACAAAATGCTATAACTATCAAAAGGAGTGTCTACTGATCCAGAAAAGACATTTGTTAAATTTAAAACAATGTCAGAATTGGTCAACTATGCTCAGAAACATAGGACCAAGTATTCTCTAATTTGAGAGGACAAATAAGTTACAGCAGAAGAGAAAATATCATAGACATTTCAAATAATCCTGTTTTTATAATTTTGACCAAAAAATTGAAGTTCAATTCAGATATCAAAGCCATTTCAGTAACAAGAGCTACAGATGAGAGTAAAAATTTCCTTCAAAATTTAAAACAGGTGGGAGGAAAATCCTGAAGTATTTATTCCAAGATTTGTAAGAGGAGATGAAATATGGCTATACTGGTACCATCCTGAAGACAGAGCATGAAGCAAAGGCTACCAAAAAATGGCAGCACTCTAGTGAAAGCCAGAGAGGACTAGTCAAGAGAAGAGGTCACGGCAACAGATTCGGGGAATGCTTAAGAGATGTGACTCGATGACTTTTTGAATGGCCAAACCATAATTAAATGTACTTATTAGAAGAGGTTTTTTGAAAAAGTTAGCCAAAGCTTGAGATGAAAAATCATTACCAGAGAGTTCTTCCTCACCATGACAAAGTGCCTGCTCATGCATTTCATCTAAAAAAGGGGAGTCTGGAAAGAGTTTCCATGGAAAATATGAAGGCGTCCACTGTAAACCCATAATGTGGCACCTGGTGACTTCATTTCCTTTCCCAATCTTAAAATACGTGTAAATGAAACAAAGTTAACTTCACTTAATATTAGAAAAGACATTTCATAGAAATAGATACATTCGCAGGACCCAGAGGGTTTTAAGGATAGACTACAGGGTGGGAAAAAGACATTGCTTCCAGAAGCATCTGGACCTTGATGGAGCAGAGGTTGAGAATGTATATTCTATCATTCTTATTTTAATTATTTAAAACATTTTCTACACATTAAAAGAACCATCCCACAACATAAATCCTAAAGAAACAGTTGTTACCCTACATTGGTTATTCTTTCTATAATTTTGTCTTGCTTTCTTGTGATTTTCTATTTTACTCCCAAATAGAATTCAGAACCCACCTGAGAATCCTACTCTCACATTACCACACTGACCAAAAACAGTTCAATTCTCTGCTGACCTGTCTACAGAATAATCCTCATTTCCAGCGCTCTGCAAGCATTGCCAGCGTTGCACTGGGATCCCCTTGCTGAGGTAGCTGAATGTCGGGAAACAGAGCAAATTTACCTGGTTTTTCTACATATCACGGAGGTTAATTCTCAGAAAAGGGTTACCACCCGACACTTCGTCCCCTGATTCTCGGGCTATTAGGATTTTCGTTCTTCAGAAATACATTCACACGCACAGAGACACACACAGATGCTCGCACAAACACACAGATGGATAGACACACACAGGGAAAGAGACCAAAAGTCACAGGAGCATTTGAAAATGAGGCGAAACCGCCATCGAGAGGAGAAACAATAGCTGGCACCTTAGACACTTCTTATGGTTCTGCTGTCCTTATTCTGACTGAAAGATGAGAATGGAACTCGACTGCAGGGACCGCTGTTGCAGCAACCTCAGCAGCAGGCCAGAGAAAGCATTACCGTGGAGATTTTAAACAGGAGAGGACAAGATGCAGAAGCATTTCTTTCAAGATTTGTCACAGGAGATAAAATAGGGCTCTTGCGCAAGGATCCTGAACACAAAGCACGAAGCCACGGCTACCAAGAGGCGGCAGCCCTGTAGGCAAAGCCACAAGGCACCTGTCAAGAACAGAGGTCATGGCGACCGT